CGTAAAAGAAGCCTCCAATGGAAATTCCCATTTTGTTCATTCCGAATCTTTTCATGAAACAAATCATCTTAAAATAGTAAACTAAATAAGTAGCGAGTTAGGATTATAACTAAATAAGTACATTTCACTTATACCTCACCTTGTACTTGAATTCAACTGACAAGTTGTTTGAAGAGAATCTTTGTATGGAAACGAAGTTATCGTAGATCTAAAATATAAAACAATTATATAATAATAGAAGCTTTATTATGTATGTTTGTTATTTACCGTTTTCCTACATTCTCTATATNAAATAATAAACAAAAACTCTTAAAAAACAATGCAGTCTTGATAGAAACTCAGTCATAAGCACTAAGAATTATGAATACATTAGTGCAAAAAAAAAGAAAAAAATTACGAAAACCTATAGAATATTTCTTATTTGGAGCGCTTCAAGTTTAATTCCTCTATCGCAAATATACTCAGTTTTATCTTTTAACTATGTACAATTGGCCTGCGTTCACCTAACGTATTTCTTTAAGTATTTATATTATGGAGAAATATATTTTCAATGTTGCCTACACTATTTTCAGTTCTTAAAGTAATAGACTTATCGATCAGATATAGAATTTATGGTGGAATTATTTCTTTGTATGTTCATGCTGTAATGAGTTTACATAGTATGAAAAGTTTAATTGATCAGATGTTTTAATAATGGACAGCGTTGCCTGGTAAAGTTGCTATAATGCAGTCAGATAACTGAACTAATGGCACACAGTTTCAAGTGAAATGTTTATGTCGTTCGTTTCCTTATCTACTTGTATTATTTAGGTTCTTTACTAGGCAATGTCTCTACTAACTCCATTAGTGTACCATGTTTGTAGTCTTCGTTCTTTCTATTTTGGAATATTTGCATTGTCTTATATAAAATACATTATCGGAATAAATAACATTATCCATTTTAAGTGCATTAGTTGATTAACGTTTGTTAGATATATATTTTCAAGTTCAAAATGTAGATATGCTATTATTATAAGTTTAATTATACATGAAACTGTTATTTAATAAGAGTTCATTTTGATTTCATTGATTCAATGAACGGATGGAATTGCGGAAGTATTTCAAATATTACGAATAAGTGACATTACAAAACACAAGTGATCGAAAACAAATTTTAATTGTATGTCCAAAGATGATCGCTTCCTCGTTCAGAGGTGACAATGCTGAATAAATGTGAACATGATAATCTAATTTTACAATATTATACATAGTCTATAACGTTTCTATTTCAGCTGTTGAACTTAATGTCACATTTACAAAGACGTTAAATCTACTAGAAAAATACAAGTTATATTATCATTGAATGCGACATTATCGAAAAATTGTTCTGTTTGTTGAAATATAAATAAAACATTGCAAATCCATCCAAGAAATCCACTTTAACAGACATATTGTAACCACATAATGGATATTTTGCTATCGAGTGATTATGGGTTTTTTTGTAATACCATGGAACCTCTCATAACGAAAAAATAAATTGTAAAAATTGACTCGTTTAACGAGCAATGTTTCGCATAAGGACTAACGAAAAGAGGGGAAGTCCCGGATTGTGCACATGATCCATAAGTCTGTTTAGCACTCCTTCCGTTAGCATCTTAGTGTCGCTCATGATCACACATTTTTTTAAACTTGTATTCACATATATTACATATAAACATCAAAAACAATAGCCTGTTTTATAATAAACATGCCAAATGATATGGCAAACAATACGCCAAAGTAAAGGCTAGGTAAGTAAAGGCTATAATTAAATATTAAAATTAAATACAGTATACTAAAAAGCTAATTCACATAAATTGTATTTTGTTGAAATAAAAAAATTTTAAAGTAAATTTCGGTATTCAAATAAGATGAAATTTTTTACACAATACAGATAAAATGCGTTATAAATTGGTAATTATGTTCATTAATTATGTCGAACCAAATTTATAATCACTCAGCTGGCTGTATTTGGTCGTGTGGCTATGAAAAATTTGTATTTAGGATAACGTGTTTTCAATGTATATTATTATAATACTATACATACATACATACATACATACATACAAGAACGACTTCTGCTGTACAGGTGGTATTGACCAAGCAAAAAACAAAGAGGGTAACGGAAAAAGGGAAAAGAAGGAGGGAAGATTAGATAGACAGTAGAAAAAGGATTCCTCTGAACGACATATGTTCGGTGACAGTACTCTCTACGTTTGATGATGGTTTTAGGCTATTTCCCCGAAGAATTTAAAAGAAAATCTGAGTATAGTGAACATCAATGATTGGGTACAACCACTAATAGCTAGGTGTATAAGTTAATGCGATGTGGCTGATTATAGGAATATTTATATCTACTTAATACTAACGAAACTGAACCTGAGTGCGAATCTAATAATTTTTATCAGCTAGACAGAAGCGCGAAAAAGAAACGAACACAACGACAAACTAGACAAGATGAACAGATGGACAAAAACCAAACAAGCTAGACCTCACCTTTTTTCGTTTTTTAATTTCTTTTTATTATTATTTTTCTTTATTTTTCTAAACAATAATCACTTAATGTATAAGTAATTATAAAAATTGGCTTCAGATAAATAAATCTTTCATTATTATTTAAAAGAAAACATTTTATTTGAAAAAAGTTTTAATTGATATTTTTCAACTTGCCAAAATTGATTCCCAAACGGTCATTTCCTCTGGATAGCCAACTTTACTGGGCCTAAGGAGTTGGTTTCTCTGAATGAGTAGCTGTCGTGCTGTAAAGCTGCCATTCATAGGTTAGCTTTAGAAATAATATAAAAAACAAACATGACCAAACATAAAATGAAAATAAATTTATTGACATAAACACATATTATATGATTACAATTAACACAATTAAATCTTACTGCTATAGGTCGTTAGAATAAAAAGATCTAGTTTTTCTTCGTAAGTATTTAACTCTTACTGGTTTATGAAACGAATAAAGCGGTTGAGAAGACAATCATTTTTTGACAGCAGATCTTGGTAAATTAGAAGCTTTAACTAGTTTACTCACTCCTTCCAAATGATGCCGAAGATTTCCGGTTAAAATATATTGATTTCAAAAGTTTTTTCCATTTCCTCCTTTTTATAGATAATTCTTTTCACTGATAAATTACTCTTGGAGAAACTGAAGAAAAGATTTCTTTGAGACACTCAGCGGGTGTTCACCGATTTCGGGTAGAGTCGCCAAACTTTTGTCTCCAAATCACTCTTTAGGAATTTTTTTAATCCTTTCCAAAATTCATCAAAACTAATCGTGGTTAATGTTGTTTTTCTATTTTTCATCAAATGAGATATTAGGTCTACCATACGACTGCCTAAAACAAGGTTACCACTAATGTTAGTTACCACATTTGTAATCATTTTGTCTCAGTCTGTCCATAAAATCCGGAATATATTTTCGATATAAATGCGGGACAGATACAGTTATTTATTTAACAATTGCATCCTCGCCGTTGTCATCAGGATTTTTTTCAGGTCGAGAAAATGTTTCCTTATATTTGGCGGGGTAAGATAGACACTCTATCCGGTTCTTTCGGCCCGTGAATTGTTTTCTGATATCTCGAAACCAATTGACTTAATTTGGGTGAACTACAAGAAAATAATCTGATTGAACGTAATATGATCTGAGAATTGTTCTGCTGCTTTAAATTTAAGAAAAACACTGTGTAGTCCATTCAAGAAATTTTATACGATCATCTCGAACCTCGAAATGAACAGTTTGCAAATGGATGATTTTATAATTGTTTGTATTATTTGAGTCATGGGGCCATGATACTGTAAATCGAGAATAAAGAACAATTATACTATGAGAATGATTTTCGACTTTCCTAAGTAATTCATTTAAACTTCTCTACGTTTACATCAGAATAATATAGTGTATAGTTAATTAGTATATAGAAAAGAGAAGAATAATTAGTAAAACTATTGTATTATATTTCACATTTTTCCTTTTTGATGATTCAACTAGTTAAAATTAAAGTCTATACCATGTTTTAGTGTTGTGGATCGCAAAATACCAAATTATAAATTCTCAACGTATACTATGATAAGTATTGTCTTCATTACATTTGATCGTAGATCTTAATTTATTACTAAAATATACTAATGTTGGTTTGTCTGTAGATTCGTAATTATTTTAAGAGAAATATTCGGGATATTTTATAAAAATAAAACACAATGTATTTATAGTAAATCTTATCTCAGAATTATTTTTTGTAATGATTTTCAGTACTTTAAATTTATGTAATAATAGTAACTTGTCAAAAGAAAGAATGAGATGTATAACAAATGCAACAATGGTAAAAGTATGACATTGGAACGAGACATGTGTATTATAAATTTGTACGTAACCGTTGTAACACCAAGTAAGATGCTTTGTTCTGTTCGTTGTGGTGATTTATTCTAATGATTGATTGTTATTAATTAGTTTTCTGGAAATTTAATTATTGTTAGATATGTTGAGATTGCACATATAATTCATGGTAATAAAACTTGTCATTTTTTTTTCAAAAAACAATGTTTGTTACTTTATCTTTTTCTTTTTCTAATGCAAAGGTAGAAAACCCTTTTCTAATTTCAAGGCCACATGATAGCTAACAAGAAGACCTCATTCTGAAAAAAACAAATTTAATTCATTAATAATGAAATAATAATTGTAACTGGTTATAAAAGGAAATAAATCCTGCAAATACTGCTACTTTTTGCTTCGTACAAAACAAAATATGCACATTTTTTTTTTTTAATTTTATTAATAAATAAAGTACAAACTGAATATATCTTCAATTCTACTGTAGCTACTATACCTACAAATAATTATACAGTACAGTTGGCACTACGAATGACACAAGACACTTATGAAAGTTACAATATTAACAAATTCATCATAAAATTACAAACATTTTGTTTCCATAAAATCATATAATATGTCAAATAAAATATTATTACATTGATTGATTACTGACCACTTACTCTGTATTGATTAAAGTAAAATAAAGACGATGACATACTTTATTGACAATAGGGAATTGAATTTATATTTATTTTTCTATGTTTTTTTCTAGAGTGTTTTCATTATTGTGAAAAAATCCAAGTGATGATGTCACAATAAGTTTATGCGAACTATTGTTTGCCATTTTCTGAATAAAAAAAAAATTATTCTAATTAATTTTTCTATGTGACATTTTTTATCTTATGCACTACTAGGGAAAGATAAGTTTACGATTTTTAAATTTCACAAATCTTAGAAACAAGAATTAATTTTAGATATTTTAAAGCTTTATAAATAATAATATTATTCAAATAATTTACTATATTATACACACGAACATATTCAGAGACCAAAGTGAGTAATTTAAAGAAAGTACTATTTCCATTAAGCAAAATACACACAATTATTTTATCGAAATTTACTAACATCAACTGAATTAATAAATTACATTTAATTAAATATACACTGTGTATATAATTAATAATATTGTTGATGCTGGAGAGTGAAATAATTATAAAGTGGAAATCACATGGCAAATGCTTCAAGATAATTTGGATCATTATATTTGCATAATGTCCCATTCAAGGGAGAATTTAGGTATTTTCGAGCGTAGCACTACATTAAGTGCTACGCCCCAAAATACTTAAATTCTCCCTTAATGTAGTCCAATGGGGGCCCTATTTTATGCTAAATTAAGAATCTTTAAATTGGGGTTTAAAATTCATATTTAATAACATCGAAATCTGAGTTGAAATATAATTATGTACAAAATAGTGTTAAATGATAAAATCTTATATAAAAAACATAAAAAATAAAGTAATATTCACATTGATTTATTACTGACAACTTACGCTACATTGATTACAATAAAACAAATAATACTATAAATTATAATAATTATTATATTATTAATATTAACTATTTTTTTACTATACAATAAGTGCTCATTGTTAATGAAATGCAATTAAAAATTTATGATAATTATTTAATTTTTGTGGACCCTCGACACTTAGGGGCCCAGGGTTTAAGCCCTATTATTTCCTATACAAATCTGACTATAGTAGAATAACGCAGTGTAATAAAGTATTAATTTAAATAAATATAAAAATATATTTGATAGAATTATAAAACTGACGCTAGTAATATAAGATTTTAATGTTTCACTATATTTTTTAAAAGTGTGTACTTTAAGATTCACTAAAGTGTTTGTATGTTATGGGCAATCTGCCTAGAGGGAATGTCTTCCGGGAGGTCTTTTTAAGGGAAACTGGCCCGTATTTAGGTATTTAGGCATTTCAGACGTAGAGAAAACCCGGAAAACTCCATGTGGCCAGCCTGTCGAACGAGGTGCTTACCCACGACCAAATGCCCAGTATTCAGGGTACGTAGATTGCGTGGCCATTGGTGGGCCTCCACTAAAGTTAGAATTTCACTTAAATAACGCATAACTATTTTGAAATTACAAGTAAATTATTTAAGTAATAATTTGCACAGTGACATTTAGTACATGATTTTAATATATTAAACGTTTTTGAAAATTATTAAATCCATAACTGCATTATTAATTACTACATTCCACTATACCTTTAAAATGCAGTCTACTTTTGGATAGTTCTCTAAGAAGGTCTATGAATTAGACCGAAAACGTTAGAGAACTATCCAAAAATAGACTGCATTTTAAAGGTATAGTGGAATGTAGTTTTTGAAAATGTACCTTTTGTTTTATTGCATTATCCATTTAAATGCTACAATTTTTTCTAAAGTTGTTTAAGTCTATGATTTCATGTATCAAAACTAATGTTTTACAAAACTAATGGGTTTTTTTACTGTTAAAACTATATTTACAGAATTAAGATAAAGCTCTGCATAAATAATTAAGGTTTTACCTTAATATTTAAAGTAATTATTTAAAATTTGCGAGTTTTTAAATTTGTATTTTCCGAAGTTACGTCACTTTAAAAATAATATCCTTAATTAATGATTTTAGTTATTAATAATACTGATAATAATAGGATTAAATTCATTTAGCATTATAAAATACTATATTATTATAAACATAAATTTACAATTAATCTATTGTAGAATATATTTACACAACTTGAAATGTTCATTTTAAATTTCTATATTGGCTAAGCTTTTACTATTAATACAAGTGCATTTTAGATTTTTATTTTAATTAAAAAATAGTCATATAATTTGCTATATATTTATAATTTTTTTATCTTATTTTAAAGTATATAATATTGTATAATCAGAAATTCATTACATTATTTAATTCACTTACTCTTCTTAAACAATTTGATAAAAGTGTACGATTTAAAACTATTAAAAGACAGATTTACTATTATCGAATGATGAATTATTGGATACAGAACTGTAATTACACGATTTGTGTTTGCTCATCACTCCAGTTACTTGCACTACAGAAGAGAAAATTGAGTATAAAGCACTCGCCATCTATAAACAAAAAACAAATGTTTATTGCATAATACATTAGCAATAATACACCGACTTACCCGAATCACAAAATTTTTTTGAACGTAAAAGAAGCCTCCAATGGAAATTCCCATTTTGTTCATTCCGAATCTTTTCATGAAACAAATCATCTTAAAATAGTAAACTAAATAAGTAGCGAGTTAGGATTATAACTAAATAAGTACATTTCACTTATACCTCACCTTGTACTTGAATTCAACTGACAAGTTGTTTGAAGAGAATCTTTGTATGGAAACGAAGTTATCGTAGATCTAAAATATAAAACAATTATATAATAATAGAAGCTTTATTATGTATGTTTGTTATTTACCGTTTTCCTACATTCTCTATATAAATAAATAACTTTAATTTTGAGAGGTTTAGATATATTCTGTCTGCTGATGATAACACCGATGGAAAGTACAACTGTAAGAAATAGTTGACCCCCTTATAACACTGTTAATAATTCCGTTTTATATGAATTCCATGTTGTACGAGTCACTTAGATTTTACAAATACGTGTGCCGAGCTGTGAACGGCACACGTATTTCGTTTTTCTTTAGAACCCATTAATGGCGAATTACATATAAGCACTGAACACTTGTTGGTCATGATTTCACGCATAACCAACAAATAAATCACGCAAATTTTCCCAGAATTTTATCTCGTATATCACCTCTAAATGCAAGTCACTTTTCCATATAAAGTCCTTTCGGAGAGACAGTTATAAACAGGTTCCCTACCTCCAATGTTGCAAGACACAACTAAACCTAAACTTTCCTAAATTTAATGTATAGGAACAGTGATGGAATAAGTCATTTGCCGATCGCAATACAACAAAACATTTGCCGATCGCGATACATACTTAATTAGTATTATCAAAAATTAAAAATAATAATTACCAGAGATGTCAAGTAGGAAATGGCCCATGATACAAAAAAGCATCCTGTTAGGAATATCATCGAAAGGCAGCCGTAAAGTGCTCGCATTGTAACATCCATGTCAAAAAACATCGTGACAAAACATAGAAAGCATGTTTCGTATGTAAAATGAGCATATATCAGAGCGTGGAGATCTTCCCATTTATTGTTGATCATTTCAAACATCTCCCAAATTTCTGTGTGCTTTTCGCAGATTTCTTGTAATTCTTTATTCAGTAATAAAGAAGTTGTGTTTGTCTGTTGTAATTCTTCAGATAACTTGATAATTCGTCTTGCAATGACTATTCCAGAAATTAAAAATATTAGAAAAACTGAAGCTATCTGTACTATAAATAGCAGATGCAGAAACCAGAAGTAAATGCAACATAACGTTGCTTCGAATTCACTTCCACTGTATCTTTTGATTGTTGGAAACTCGACCAATGCCACTGTGTTCGATACAATCAGAATGATGAAAAATACGCTTATCCAGTATACTATCATAGGCAATTCCATTTGTAGTAGCAAATATTTTTCATCTTTGTACGAGCTTTTCATGAAATGACCAGTAATTTTGATTCTCTTCAATACCGAAAATTGAATAGCGATATAGATATTCAGAATTATAATCACGACGCCAATTTCTTTTTCATATTTTCCGAATACTTGTGTAGAACTGTGACAGAATGAACGTTCTTTGAATGTTAAGAGAAATCGATAAATCGAAGAAAACCATAAAAACAGTTCAATCATTTTTACATAAAAGTCATAGAATGCATGTGTTTTATTCTTTGGTTTTCCATCAGTTTCTTCTTTGGAACAGCTACATTTTTCGAAGGGTTCAATGCCAAAAACTTTACAAACAGATAGTACTGGTTGAAAGTTGTAAAACAAACAACGATCCGATCGTGTCGTAATGCAATTTTCATTGTTTTCCTTACACAAAATCTGCATTTTACGAAAGTCGTTGATGAATTTTGAAATGCAGTTTCCCATTATCTATGTTGGAAATATATACTGTAAAAGTGATAATGAAAGAATTGAAGAAACAAAAGTAATGACTTTTAATTCAGGTGATCGTTTTTTCTGATATGAAAACTTTAATTATATATGTTAATTTTACTAGTTATTTTATCGTTTTTGAATACATGACGGTTTTTATTTCAGCTGTTCTTCATGTTGATTTCATAAGAGTAAATTTTTCAACAGAAAAGTACATAAAAGCAAATCTGCAAAGAAAAAAACATTACTAAAAAAATTAGATCAATATATACTCTATATGAAGTGACACCTGCTAATGTAAGCGTTTTCGTGGTCACCACTTTGACACAGTTTCTTTAGTAGACACATTACCAAATTATCAAGGTTTACAGAATTGAAACATTTACTGTGAATACGAGCAAGAGAATATTAGGTGATCTTGCTTGAAATTGAAAAAAAATATATTACATTTTTGTTTTTCATCTTGATTATTTCAAGCCTTCCTTTTTGGTATAAAACTGTATTTATATCGAACGTATTTGACAATTGATACAAAAACCATTGTAACTTCACAGTAAATGAAAAGATAAAATGTGAAAAATACAAGGTATATGTCAGTTAAAAGTTAAAACATGCGATCGAACAGTGCAGACTGTGAGAAGGTCAAACATCGTTTCCAGAACAGATGCGTTGCACCAGTTGTGAGTTCAGATCCACAGCAAATTTTCAGAAATTGCACCGGCAAGCCAAACAGTCCAATATTGAACATTTTAAGGTGGATGAAGGAAGAAAAATATTGATGGAAAACGAAACCAAAAGTGATGCAATTAAGTTAATTTTAAAAGAAAAAAATTTACTTAAAAAATAATATTATGTTGTAGCAGACAACTATTCGTAATATGTTTCTCGGAAAGCATAGATAACAATTTTTTTTTATTTTCTGAGCAAGATGTATAACCGAAAATGAACCATAACTGTTACCATCTCTTGTTATATTTTTTAAGAAGTTTTTACACTTTTGACTATTAAAAAATAGCGAACAGGTTAATTTTCGGAGTAAAGACAAATTTTATGAAAAAATTGTAAATGTTAATATCGAATAAAAGTTTCATTATATAGTCCCTACTGTAGATAAACATCACTACATTATTTCCCTTGACTTTTAACGAAAAAAATTTAATAGAATCATTTCCTCTAATAAAGAAATTTACCTGCAAAATTATACAGCTTTCCAATAAAAGCACAACGGTTATCCAGCAGGGTAAACAAAATCATGCCCCCATATATATATCTATATGTGCGAACACGATTTTTTTACTCCGATTAACATATATATATATATATATTAGTTTTTGCTGCATTGTAATATATACCGATGTAATATTTTTNCAATTAACACAATTAAATCTTACTGCTATAGGTCGTTAGAATAAAAAGATCTAGTTTTTCTTCGTAAGTATTTAACTCTTACTGGTTTATGAAACGAATAAAGCGGTTGAGAAGACAATCATTTTTTGACAGCAGATCTTGGTAAATTAGAAGCTTTAACTAGTTTACTCACTCCTTCCAAATGATGCCGAAGATTTCCGGTTAAAATATATTGATTTCAAAAGTTTTTTCCATTTCCTCCTTTTTATAGATAATTCTTTTCACTGATAAATTACTCTTGGAGAAACTGAAGAAAAGATTTCTTTGAGACACTCAGCGGGTGTTCACCGATTTCGGGTAGAGTCGCCAAACTTTTGTCTCCAAATCACTCTTTAGGAATTTTTTTAATCCTTTCCAAAATTCATCAAAACTAATCGTGGTTAATGTTGTTTTTCTATTTTTCATCAAATGAGATATTAGGTCTACCATACGACTGCCTAAAACAAGGTTACCACTAATGTTAGTTACCACATTTGTAATCATTTTGTCTCAGTCTGTCCATAAAATCCGGAATATATTTTCGATATAAATGCGGGACAGATACAGTTATTTATTTAACAATTGCATCCTCGCCGTTGTCATCAGGATTTTTTTCAGGTCGAGAAAATGTTTCCTTATATTTGGCGGGGTAAGATAGACACTCTATCCGGTTCTTTCGGCCCGTGAATTGTTTTCTGATATCTCGAAACCAATTGACTTAATTTGGGTGAACTACAAGAAAATAATCTGATTGAACGTAATATGATCTGAGAATTGTTCTGCTGCTTTAAATTTAAGAAAAACACTGTGTAGTCCATTCAAGAAATTTTATACGATCATCTCGAACCTCGAAATGAACAGTTTGCAAATGGATGATTTTATAATTGTTTGTATTATTTGAGTCATGGGGCCATGATACTGTAAATCGAGAATAAAGAACAATTATACTATGAGAATGATTTTCGACTTTCCTAAGTAATTCATTTAAACTTCTCTACGTTTACATCAGAATAATATAGTGTATAGTTAATTAGTATATAGAAAAGAGAAGAATAATTAGTAAAACTATTGTATTATATTTCACATTTTTCCTTTTTGATGATTCAACTAGTTATAATTAAAGTCTATATCATGTTTTAGTGTTGTGGATCGCAAAATACCAAATTATAAATTCTCAACGTATACTATGATAAGTATTGTCTTCATTACATTTGATCGTAGATCTTAATTTATTACTAAAATATACTAATGTTGGTTTGTCTGTAGATTCGTAATTATTTTAAGAGAAATATTCGAGATATTTTATAAAAATAAAACACAATGTTTTTATAGTAAATCCTATCTCAGAATTATTTTTAGTAATGATTTTCAGTACTTTAAATTTTTGTAATAATAGTAACTTGTCAAAAGGAAGAATGAGATGTAGACAAAAGCAATAATGGTAAAAGTATGACATTGGAATGAAATATGTGTATTATAAATTTTTACATAACCGTTGTAACACCAAGTAGATATGCTTTGTTCTGTTCGTTGTGATAATTTATTCTGATGATTGATTGTTATTAATTAGTATTCTGGAAATTTAATTATTGTTAGATATGTTGAGATTACACATATACATGGCAATAAAATTTCATGTTATGTTTTTTTCAAATAACAATGTTTGTTTCTTTTTTTTCTAATGCAGAGGTAGAAAATCCTTTTCTCATTTGACAGCCGCATGAGAGCTAAGAAGGCCTTATTCTAAAAAAATCAAATTTAATCATGAAATAATAATTGTAACTAGTTATAAAAAGTAAATAAATCCTGCAAATACTGCTACTTTTCGCTTCGTACAAAACAAAATATGCACATTTATTTATTTAATTTTATTAATAAATAAACTACAAACTGAACATATCTTCAATTCTACTGTAGATACTATACCTACAAATAGTTATACAGTACAGTTGGCACTACAAATGACACAAGACACTTATGAAAGTTACAATATTAACAAATTCTTCATAAAAATACAAATATTTTATTTTCATAAAATCATATGATATGTGCAATAAAATGTTATTACATTGATTAATTACTGACCACTTACTCTACATTGATTACAATAAAATAAAGACGATAACATACTTTATTGACTATATGGAATTGAATTTATATTTATTTTTCTATATTTTTCTCGAGAGTGTTTTCATTACTGTAAAAACTATTGTTTGACATTTTCTGATTAGAAAAAAATTATTCTAATTAATTTTTCTAAGTGACATATCTTATCTTATACACATACTAGGAAAAGATAAGTTTACGATTTTTAAATCTCACAATTCTTAGAAACAAGAATTAATTTTAGATATTTTAAAGCTTTATAAATAATAATATTATTCAAATAATTTACTATATTATACACACGAACATATTCAGAGATCAAAATGAGTAATTTAAAGAAAGTACTATTTCCATTAAGCAGAATACATACAATTATTTTATCGAAATTTACTAACATCAACTGAATTAATAAATTACATTTAATTAAATATACACCGTGTATATCATTAATAATATTGTTGATGCTGAAGAGTGAAATAATTATAAAGTGGAAATCACATGGCAAATG